CACAAGAAAATTGTAAACAAAAAACACCATTGGACACAAGAAGTAACGCTTGCTTTCTTTCCACAGGGGGAAACAATCCTTCCCCCTGTCTGTTACACATCAAAAAGACAAATGGGAAGCCCAAGTGACCCCATATACTTCCACATTCGGAATTTCTCACACGGCGCTAATAACTGAGCCACACCAAAAGCCCTTGTCGTGACCCTGTCGGCCTCCTCCAGTGCCGGCCATAATGTTGATCTAAAATTAGCCCAGGTACTACTAGAAGGCATAAAATAAACAAATAAACAAGGATGGCAGTAAACACATTCCGAAATCCAGCCAGTTAACTGCACCTGTCCCTGCATGACTTTGGCATGGTGTGTGGCCACAAGTCACTGCCTCCCTCTGTGCTCCCATTGCAAGAGATTCACAGACACCCCCTCACTGCATAGAAAGAGGAAACACAGAAAACTGACCTCTGAAGTGACAAGTTCCTTCTCACTTTTGTATCTGCCATTTGAAGTATTAAGCATAGAACACAGACAAAACATTGTCTTAAAAAGAATTCCATTATCTTCAAAAGAACAAGAAGAAGCCCAAACTTTACAGAGCTTTGTTCCTACACCTTCCTGCTGCAATCAAGTGGTCTTATGTTACGCACTTTGTGTTACCCATATATCTGAGGTCGTTCCTTTAATTCATTAATATGAGGTTGCTGTTTTCACTGAATTGCGCTACTGCTTGGGAAAGTTCTGAGCAGCTGGAGAGGCAAAGCCTGGGGAAATTGAGCATATAGGGAGTCCCCAGGAGAACAGAACAGCAGTGATCCCCACAGATGGAAACACAATGTCCAGGCAAAGGGGGAAAAAAAGATACAGAAAAAAAAAAAAAGACAGAGACTTGCTTGCTGCAGTTAAGAATCACAGTGTAAATATACAGAAGATTTTCTAGCCACAGATGAATAGGACAGTCAAAACACCTTAGGAGGATGCAGTGAAAACTGTCAGACAGAAAAGCTGATCTTGTTTCATGTGAGAAGATACAAGGAAGTCAGAGAGAGGGTTTGTTTTTTTCCCTAACAAGCTGTTGCTTCTGGTACTTTGGCTAAGGCTGTTGCTTTATATTTTTTCTGATGTGCACAGAAACTTCCTAAGCCTTGGTTAATACAGGACTACAGTGCTTCTGCTGTAATGAAGGCTACAGCTGAATTTCTATATTTAAGCCTGATATTTAGCCAAAATCTTAAGTCTACAAAATGGGCAGGAACATAATAGTTGGTTTATATTCCAACTTCCAAATCCCATTTTTTCATGGAAGCTACAGATTACCCTGAGCAGTCTCACACAAACACAGGTTTTCCATCTATTTTAGAATGACTAAATACAGTTTGTGGTTCCATAACATAGTTTTTCACATAAAAAAAAAAAAAAAGAAGAAAGAAGCAAACCCATCCAGTGGCAGTCTAAGGTCTCAATTTTGCAAGGTGATTCACGCTGGCTGACACCCTATGCCCACTCCCACTGATGTTCATGGCAGAAAAAACACCACCGTCCAAGTGGCTATTTGTGTGCTTGGTAGAAGGACACCAAGAGCCTTTGGTGCAAGGACCATGCCGCATCACATGCTGCTTACTACCTTCCCAAAACAGTTCAAGAAATCGCTCTCAACAGCTGCTAACGAAGCTACAAATGAAGGACCAAGAACACAGAGTCAGCCAAAAAATCAGAGCTATTCCAGAGTCGGTGTGGGACAGACTTTTTAAGAATCTGGGATGGCCACGCTGTGAACGACAGCTACAGAGGGGCAATCTGCATCTCAATCATGTAATGAAGATAGTTACTTAAAGGTATGTGGCTCCTTCAGCCACCCTTCTATAGGGCCAATGCTCTGCAAAAAGGAGTAGGGAGATGTGTGATTAATTGGTGGGATTTCTTGTAATTCTAAAGAGGTGCTCGTGATTAGGGCTGCTTATATAGACAAGAAAATAAATAAAAGTGGTGTTTTCTCGCGTACCTCCCTGATTTCATTCAGTGTTTACAGACACCACTGTTTTAACACATGCTGCTGAAAATAGATCCGCATTTCAGATACCCTACCGCACGGCTCTCTTTTTGCCCTGAACTGTCTGGAGCTTCTGTCGGCTACATCAACACGGGCACGCCTGCTGGCAGCTGCACCTGACTAAGTGAAAGCAGGGGCGCTGTATTACTAATTATTATTACTATTTTAAGCAAAACGGTGTGGGTGCTGCTCTGCCCGCTTGCCCCCCCCTCCCCCCCCCTCAGCAGGCAGCCCGGCGGTGGGCCCAGCAACGGCAGGACCGTTCCCCTGACCCCCGTTTACCGCCCCCTGCCCCGGTGTAGTGGCTGAACAGCGGGGAAGGGGGATGAACCGCCTTACCCCCCCACCCCTCCAGCCCTAAAGGGAACGGGGGAAGGGCAGCCCAAGTCAAGGCAGGGTGCTCCTTGCCCCTACTCCGGCGACGGGGCAGGGGGGCAGAGAGAGGGTGGCCGAGAGAGGGTGGCCCGTTCCTCCGCCGTCCCCCTCCCCTCAGAGCCGCCGGTACCTCTCGGAGTCGCGACCGTCGAAGAAGACGAAGTCTCCGCTCTGGACGCACTTGGCGCAGGTGAGGCGGCGGCGCGTGGTGTTGCAGAGCGGGCACCGCTCCACCGCCACGTACAGCCCCTCCGCGTCCTCCTCGGCACCCCGCAGAGCCGCCGGCCCGGCCCCGACGCCGCCGCCCTGCCCACCGGGCTGCGGCCGGCAGCCGCTGGGAGCCGCCATGATGGGCTCCCCGCGCCGCGGGTCACGTGGGACTTTGTGTGCGAACAGGGGCATTGTGGGAAGTGGGCGCTGAGGCGGAGGGGCAGGCCTTGGGTTGAGTGCGCGGCCCGGACCCTTCGACCCCAGCCCAGCCCCGGGGCAGACGGTGGAAGGAACAGTGCCAGGTTCAGCAGCACACGCTTTGGTACTCCTGGCTGCCGGCAGCACCCACTGGAGGAGGCAAGGCTGCCCCCTCCCTGCTCCCCGAGCTGGGGGACATGGTGGATGAGCTGCGGTATACAGCGGGCAGGCCAGCCCGGCTACCACTGGGACTGGGAGGGAATTGTGCAAATCTGAGGTAAAAAAAAGAAGCTTGGGGAGCTTAAAGTTTACTGTTTAAAGCCTGCAGTAAGCAGCGTGGTTATATTGTTTCCTGCGGTGCTGGGTGCTCCCATGAACCTCAACAGGCACTGCAGGTCTGTAACCATTGCATACTCTAGGATGAGACATCTTGACTAGTTACCCTCACTGCAGTCTCGAGCGGGCCTCCTGTACAGCAGCCAGTCAGCAACACTGCTGTATGGGGTGCATAGAGCAGCCAGCCTCTGTATGTTTATAATACCACCAACACTAATCTGTGTAAGAAGACAATTTGTGCAATAGAAGCGTCATATCTTGATACACATCCTTAAGAGTGACAGACTAAGAATCCTCACCCCAGCCTGAAGGTTGGAGCCGGAATCAGGAGTTAAGTAGATACGATCAACTAGTATGTAGAAATACAGAGCAAGTTCTTTGCATCAGAATATAGTGGGAAACACCAGGCAATTAGCAGAGACAAGACAGAGTCCACAGAAGCCAGAGTAACTTGAAGCAAAAAAAGAAACAAAACATGCCCCAAGTAAAATAAAAATCCCAGCCTACACTGTTCCCATTCCTAGTGCATTCCCAGTGCCAGAAAACACCAGAACAAAGATAGTTGTTTCTAAGAGTTACCAGAAGCAAACATTAACTTAATCAGTAACTCAGTGAAAAGGCACAGAGCTTATTTCTTATCTTTAAGACTGTATCTGTACTTTTAAAGAGCATTAACTTTACTAGTGAAATTATGTGGCAAGCTCTTAATTAAAAAGTAATTTCTTGAAGAGGGGTCATTTTAAATAAACTTTTCCCAGCATGCCAGTAAAAGCAGGGTTGTTTTCTTCACTTGCAAAAGATTATTGTAACTTAACCTCCTAAGCTATTACAGCTACAGGACAAATAAAAGTCACACCCATAGTTAAGGAAAGTCTGCAGTGTTAGAAAACAAACAGGGAAGTAAGCCTCTATTCAGAGTAGATTTGAGTGTGGGAATCCACATTTTGACTGTGACAAAGAAACTGGTAACAGTTAAGATCAGTTTATCATAAGGAAGTGCATGAAGTTTCCCAAACTTCTTTTCCAGAGGAGCAGAGACACAGTTACAAAAGCACTTGAAACATATTACAAAACCAGAAGTTGAAATCATGTCTTCACTAAATCAGAAATAAACTTGTGACAGCAAGACTGCAACACCCTGTCCTGTATTAAGCCATTGCCCATATTGTGTATTTCCACAGACAGACCAAGCTTTTGGCCTGGGTTGCACTTAAATCATCTAACAGCAACCTCTAGTGGTGTTTCCTGACAGAGCTATCTCATCTTCAACAGGAAACAAGGGAAGGACACGAGACAAAACTTAGCAGCAATAAAGCCCTGTGCCAGAAAACACAACCCTGCTTCCAGGGAATCATGGAAGGTACCAGAAGAGTCAAGAGGTAGTCTTTGCAGTGTTTCTACTTTGCAGCGTTCCTACTTGTGTCACCAGTCTAAGCATGACACCTTTTGCAAAGGAAGCTTTGAGTTCACTTGGAGAAAAAACAAAGTACAAGAACCCCATTGTTTTACCTGAAAAATTACAAAAATTGCTATAGTGCCACTGGTTGAAGTCTGGTTAAATACCCTATATAACTGAGCATCCAATGCTTTTTGTATTTTCCTCAAGACCATTTTAGAGGCAGTTCCCTAAGCAACATGTTCTTGTCTGTCTCAAGCAACAAACTCCCATCATCTGAGGGAACTTCAGCCATAACAAGTGGGTACCAATTTTGTTAAAAATCTAATTGTCGTGACAAAGCAGATAATTTGTTTAGTTACACCTCCCCTCACAGGCTTTTTAGGTATGTTTCAGCAGTCAGGGGCCTTGAACATTTTCTCTGTAAAAGGAGTACCAACACCATTACACACAAGAGTTTAAGCAACCAGCAGGATCAGAAGCATTTGGTATATGTCCTCTACAAGCTCTGTCTTCAAAACTCTGAAATCAGCTCATGCTGGATTTTGTAAGCTATACAGTAGATAAAATACATTTTTAGTTTAAATATGAAAATACAACATTGCAGGACCTAGGTTGCAGTACACTTAACATTGAGGATTTTAATAAAGCTAGTTTGAAGCGCAGCGTTGTCTTAGCCATTCAACAGCAAAAAAGGACACATGGTTTCTATTACAAAATACTTTTAAGTGCCACCTTAATATACATTCTATTCAAAGTACATTTATTTGTCAAATTTTTCAGCTTGTCAGAAGCTGTCAGAACACAGTGGGTTACAGACAGCTAATCTGAAAGCAAAAAACCTGACAATTCCAGAAACCATAGAAAGGCATCAGCATTTATAGCATTCCAGAACAGTATTGTTTGCTTAATAATCCACAGCAGTACAGGTGGGTCCAGGAATACCCTTGCTTCTGTTCCATGCATAGTAATACAAACCCATGTATTATTCTTAGTTGCTTTGTGGGCCATGTTATGATGGTTTCTTGAAACCTTTTAGAATGGGGTAGATGTTCTCAAATGCCTCATAGATTTCAGAACGCTCTTTTGCTCCTAAAAAGACATTTAGAGAAAAAAACCCAACCCAAGAATTAAGAGTTAAGAATAACTGAATACAACTCAACCCTAACAAGATTACAAACCATGAAGAAACAGGAGTTGAAGGTAACTTACTATTAGTTTGAGGCAGCATTTCCATCACACTTCCTCCACCTCAAAAAGAAGAATTTCTAGCTTGCTTTCTTTAAGACTAAATTTTTGTTTAATCTGTGAAAGCAAACCAGCAGTTAGCTATTCTTGACAGGTGCAAAACATTGGCTTTGGGTTAAAAAAAAAAAGGCATCTGAGAATCACCATGGCATTATCTGCTTACCAGGGGCAGCTATACCTGTCCATACATCAGTGGGAAAACAGACAAGAAATCAAGGATTTTTATTTTAATACTGGAAGTTGAGCCATACTTTGAGAACTCCCCATCTCCAGTTCTGAGAAGCTATTTTTAAGCTTTGTCAGGGCACCTGTGATTTCAAAGCTAGCCTTTTCCATGTTACTGCGTATAAATCTTTAATAACAAGTCTTGTACACCAACTGTATTGCAGTAGGCAAGAGTATTGTGTACCACTGACACTACTCTATCATGTTAGTACAACATACATCAGCTACAAGAAAACTGCATTTAAATGAATTAGCAGTTAGATTAAATGCCACTCAGGATGACTGTGCAAACCCTTCCCTCAGAACACACTTGGACATGACTAATTCACCTGCATTACAACCTTCTCTTCCAAAAGTAAGGTTACTTTCAAATTGCTTTCTCAATTAGGAAAGAGCACCTCTCAGTTCAAATTCAGTTCTGGCCTTAACAGTTGGACCCAGTGTTCACAAACAGGGACTTACCTTAGTGCTTCTGGGCCTCCTGCACACTCAAGGGTATTACAATTACTATAAAAATAACTTGCAAAAATGCAAGTTATCAGTGGAATGGAACTGTCCAGTGTGATTTTCCTGGACACAAGAAGGTGGGGGAACATTGGAGGGAGAAGCATTTAAGCTTAGTACAGAGCGCTCCATTTTCAGCTAACTTGTGATTTATGTTAGCGAGAATCTCTGGCTAAGGCAGGCACTTCTCTTTTGTCTTTCACATAACTCAAAGCAATTAGGTCCTCCGGGGACAAATAACATTTATATTTCAGTACATAAGAATAAAAGTTTTTCACAAGCTTTGAAAAAGGATGTGACAGGAACATGCACTTGGGAATTCAACATTTTTTGACATAGGATCTGAGGTACAGATGTCTACTGAACACACTTACTCAGCAAGGCTTTTGCCTCATGAGTGTTTTGGCCAGCCAGTCTGGAACAAGTTCTTAGATCTCCACCCTTTCCTCTAATAATCCCTTCTAAATGTTTAAGTGAAGTGTTTTAAGAAGTTTGCTTCCTGTCCAAGGAATTTTAAATTGCTTATTGTGATACTCATATGTAAGCAACTGAGTAATTACTAGCGTGTCATCATCCTGTTGGGATTCTGTACATTGACACATGGCATTATGCTATGAATAAAGATACTCAGATTTAATGACGGGGAAATCTGACACAGTACATGAAGCAATATGAGCTTCTAGTGCAACAATACAGATACTGTTATCTGTGGAAAACACAGATAAGCAGCTATAGGCATTAAAATGATTTTTGAGTGTCTTTACTGTTACAAGATAGGCATTTAGCTAATGTTCGATTTAAATGCTCTCAGAAAATGTGGTAGCTCTTGATTACATATGTACAGAGGGAGACCACTTACCAGTCAGTACAACTTTTCCAGACACAAAGATAAGCAGCACTATCCTTGGTTTGACCATCCTATAAATAAGGCCAGGAAACAGTTCAGGTTCATAGCTGTTTCAAAACAAATGGGTAAGATGAGTAAAATGCAAATTCTGTTTCACTGTTGTACACATGAAGTGCTCTTTAATTATATTAGCAATAGAATAGTTAAACCTAGGTTTTGCCTAGCTACCCAGAGAAAGGCAGGTCAGGTTTTAGATATCTTTAGAAGAAACCCAGTCGTCCCAGTTGGAGCTGATAGGAGTTCTTCATGCTTACTTTTAAGGACTTCTGAGCCACTTCTGTAAGTGATTTTTCCATAGCACTGAAAAGTTACTGTAGTCTTCAAATAGTACTCAAATCCTTCTTGGTCTACAAAAAGTCCTTATCAGAAAGCATCTTGCACAGTAAAGAAAAGATGACAGCCAAGTCAATCTTTTCTATTTAGTCCCCAAGTTAAATACAGTGTACTAAATGCAGTGCTAATAAAAGACAACTTTTATCAGTGCCAAAATAATCTTTTCCTCAGTGATGGCAATAAGTAGTTCTCAACAAGCCCATCTTGAAGGCACAGCTTGTCCATCACTCAGCTACAGGTTTACTTCAAATTGATGGCTAAGACACCCAGAGAAAGAGAACCTAAGTGATATTCCAGAAACACCTGATATTTTCAGTTCTGTATTCAGCTGCAGTCTGGCTTCATACCTGAAGGTCAGAAACATTATCCTTGGATAACTCCCTTCAAATCAGATGCCTAAGAGGTCCTCTTTGTATTAAAGGTTCACAGTGAAGCAAAGACACAGACCAGGTTCAAGTAGCTGCTGCAATTAGACCTGAAGTGCTTGATCAAGACTGGTTATTTTCCTATTGACATGGTCTGCAGTGCAGACAAATACCCACTAAGGTTTGATATTGCATTTGGCAATAACAGGAGACTAGTAAAATTGTGATCACTGCTGAGGTTAATGAAAGTCTCCGGCACACATTGCTGATACACAGCAACAGAGGTAGTGTCAACAATATTCATGGTCAAAGAAAGCTTTTACAAAAAAAGAATATCTTCATCAACCAACTAAGCCAACAACCCAGGAGCTTCTTGCAGTTCTTCAGCCCTTCATCTTAACCAGATCTAACACACATCCAATTTACCTCAGAAGTGACTCAACACTAGTGTAGTATGCTCTCAGTTGCAAGGTTTCTAAAGCTGGTGTTTATGGTGTCCCTGCAAGGAGAAAGCAGTGAACACCACACAGGAGGGCAATTTAGAAGAACACTTCACTGTTCAATTGTGTCAGTCATGGTTTTAAGCACTGGAAGCTTTACTGCTAACTGCTGTATGCCATCCTGGCAATTAAACAGAGGGTCATTGTGGCTTGTGTCCCACTTGGAACAGGAATTATTGAAGAAAACTTTACTATCTTTATCATCATACATGGCATCTACAGCCATTTCATGCTTGCTGAACTGCTGAGCATTGTCTTTTAATGAGCAAAAGGCATGCTTGATATTCAGTATCTGGTTAATTGTTACTTTTTTTTGCTGGGCTTCTAAGTCTCAGAATTTGCGTCTGTTTGGCAGCTTACAAAAGGCACTGCTCCAAGGTGTAACTCTGACTTCCACATACCTGCTGAACTGCTGGTGAGTGAGAACCAAGCCTTCCAGCCTGATGGGAAACCTCACATCACAGCTCCCAACCATATTCTGTATCTTGAAGTCCAGGAACTTGGCAGGGAACCCAAGCTTCTGTACCACACGTGCATACTTCCTGGCTGCAAGACGCGATTGCTCTTCACTAAGGAAAGGGCAGAGGCGGAAAGCAGCTTTTATTAGTGCTTTCTTCTGCTCTCAAGATGGAGGTCAGTTTAGAGCCACCATCATGCTAATCTAAACTCCAGAAAAATATATGCTACTGCTCAAAATAGCACACCTCTGTCCCCTGAACCACTTCAGTAAGCTAGAAGGAGTAAGGCACTTTGTCATTCACTTTTCTGTTTTCTATGTGAATAAACTGCAGCATGCTGCATCATCCTAGAATTTCCTTCTTCAGAGGTTTCTTTCTCACTCATTTATGCCAGCTTATCAGAGCTGATCCAAGAGGTAGACTACAGACACCAGTAGAATCATCTAGCAACTACGGGTGGTGGCAGGGGTTGTAGAAGAGTCCTCCTAAGGTGTAAATTAATGCATTGTCTCACTGACAGTTTAGGGATATAAAAAAATAAGGCAGCTGCTGAACTTGAGAACAGCCTCAGAGTACAGAAATAAGATGCGCTTTTCTCCAATCCCATTTTTTTCTCTAGAGGCATATGTGTTGACCAATGAACACAGACACCAAGGAGAAACTTGACAGACAAAAGTTATGTCCTAACTCACTTTAAAGTTGGTGAGAAATGCAAATAGCCCCTTAACAGTTCCTGGGCTTTTAACAGATTTTTTGACAGCTTTTCTGCTGATGCCTGCTCAGATCAATCTATATGCAAGGACAGAATTATACAGTTCAGTAATTACTAAGCTGCATCATGAAGAAAGCGAGACATTTTTCAATACCAGTGCTTCATTGTTTTCTTGCAATTATGACAGCCCTTTGGTAGATAATTTAAGCAAGGCTTTCTGACATTGTTCATCAGAAACAGGCAGAGCTGCAAGACCCAGACATTTAGAGGGAAGGAAAAACAAAAAATACCTTTTTGCTCCTGTGCAGACCATTTTTCCTGAACTGAAGATGAGGGCTGTTGTTCGTGGCTCCCTGATTCTCATGATCACAGCAGCAAACCTCTGAAAATTCAAAGGAAGACCTCGCTGTCCAGCTAAGGGATTTGATTGGTACTGTATTTTCTGTTTATTCTTCCAAGAATGGTCACTTTTAAAGCTCAACACAGCATGCATTTGCTTTGTGAGTCTTTGTTTACCACTGTGAAGTTATTTCCACACACCACTCCCCACCCCCCAGGAGGCTTAAAACTACAGTCACAGGACTACTATTTTGTCCCTTACATTTTGTTCAGCAGTGTGGAGTCACTTTTAGAAAGCCCATTATTCCTAGTGAAATTCTACAGTCTAGGCCACTGTCTACAAGTATCATGTAATACCCATTTCACTCTAGTAATTCTCTTTTCTTCAGCCAGGAGTTTCACGGCAGATCTTTTGTCCCTCCCATTGAGTGCTGCTTGAGCCATTTCAGCTGGAGGTAGCTGGCCACATGTGGGAGAGTTCACCTCCTTTCTTAAAATACCTTAGTAACATCTCATTGCTGGGGATTTATTCAAATAAAAAAAACATATGTCATTGTGGTCCCCTGTATTTCTGTTAATTTAAGAGGCCCAAGCTGTAGATTCTTATGATTTTCCCCTGTGGGTCACGACAATGCTTAGAGTACACAGCTCATAATGAATTTGCGTATTAGAATCCATCAGCACTGAGAAAGGTGAGTCCTTAATATTTACCTTTGGGTTATATTCTGCATTTCTGGCATGTAGAGCTATATTCTTCAGGTTTAGTTTACAAGCCAAATTTACCGTCGACACTATATTCCTGAGAAATGAGAAGGGAATTTTCTTGTTGTAAAAGCAAGTCACTGCAAAGCCAACTCCCAACACACTCCAGTTAATAATTACCATGAACTAATTTTCTGCCTACCTGTTCTCTACTCTAGCATTAAGCTACTTTTGGCAAAACTTAAGTAATTCAATACCAGAATTACAGTTTCTGAGATATAACAGGGTACGAAATTATTAGTCCCTGAATACTAAGTTCGTGTGTCTTCGAATAACTACAGCACTGAAGCCTTCTACAGCTTTAAACTGAACCATTATTGAGTACTTGCAGAGTTACTACAGCACTTAAATTAGTTAAAAGTATATTATTCTCGACAGGTATAAATTACTCCATAGTTGCTCTAGCCTAGACAGGACCTTTAAATGAGGTCAGAATTTCTCACACTTCTTTTCATGCCCCTTTCCCTTGCTCACTTCAGACTGTTTTCTGCTCTCAGAAAAGCAGGCTGACATCTTTAAATCCCTAGAGTCTGCTGTCATCCTTAACATTCTCCTTGCTGGAATAAATCCTGCTTTTCAAGTATTTTTGTCTTTTCATCCTGCAGACTGAAATAACTAGCAGAACATGCTGTATATAATTTCTACCAAACAGTCCTCCCTCTGAGACTTCAGCTTCTGTCTCCCAGAAGAGCTTTTTCCCCTTAACAAGCCAGAGGCATTTCAGATGCTCACTCACCCGGCATGTTTATCAAGTCCACTCTCCCATTTTGCTAAGCTGTGTACTGTTCCATGCCACTTCCATTTTTGTGTTGCACTGATCAGCACAGTATCCAGTTACCTTCTAATACTGTCAGTTCATTTGCTCCATGTCTCCTCAAAGAGGAGTAACTGCCCCTCTATATAGTTTTTATTTGGTGGGCTTATTTAAGCCCAAACTCTGCTTGCTATGTTCTCAGAAGTCAGAGCAGTACCTCGCAGTTTTAGCAAAGCCATGACTTATAGATGCTATATGTATAACACATAAACTTACTGTAACTGAGGAACTATGCCAGAGCTTTCTGAGGCAGGTGTCAGTGGGGTCATAGGAGTCATTGGCATCAGAGGAGGACGTGTGCCAGATGCTTCAGGAGATAATTGAGTTGCACCTGGGTATGACAAGCTGCTTTCATCCACAAAGATGCCACTGTCCTCATTACTTGATATTGACCCATCAAGTTCTTTTCGCTTTTCATAACCATCTTCAGATAGATTTTGTTCTTTGTCATCTTGGGTAATGTCTGGAAGAAAGCTGAGATCCACAGAGAAGTCTGTAGAAAGATCTTTGGGCTGATTCAATTGAGAACTGAACATATCTTCAGTGGTTTGAATTGGAAGGTCTACATCATAAGGACTCATGGGAGTAAACAGCTGAGGACTAGCTGAGAGGTCATCCTTGAATTAAGAAAAAGTGTCATTAAGGCTCTTGTATTAAAACATTTACTTTAGCTGGAAGACTAAATTAAGATAGATCTTCTATTCAATGAGGAAGTTTCATTCATTCCCCCCCCCCCCCCCCCGACATATTAAAGAACCTTTGTAAATTGTGTCTTTTGCTTGTCTATCGGCATATAAAAATCCAGGTAACTGCTATAGCAGAGATACACATTTTCCCACCACATTTCAAAGGCAGTCTAGAACACTCCTATAATACCACAAATTAAGAAACACCAAATACCTTCAGCTGTGACTGGAGGTACAGTGTTGGCACTTTGGCCTTCACAGCTATTGTCATGCCTCAGTTATTCACGTAACCAACACAATTGCTGATGACTTCTTTCAGGAAAGACAGCTGGCACTTTCTGGCTGGCATTAACTCCCATTCAGTAATTTACTGTTTCCTCTCCTTGATACCAGAGGACAGTGTCAATGTTGTTTCGGATTTATGCAACAGAGGGCAGCAGCTCACAGAATCACGAGCAGTTTTATCTTCGGCGGCTGGAGATCACCAGACTAATTCAAGCGAGACAGCAAAGCTAGTGTCCTTTCACAGATAGCATGCAACATACCCGCAAAGTTCTTGCATACTAATGTATTATTAAAAGCTATTTAAAAGGCACCATAATATTGAAAAAGCAAGAGTTTAGAAAAGGATTTATTCCCTTCTTCACCAGCACATAAGCCTCTAGTTAGAAAACACATCTTCCAAGAAGGTGGTTTCTGCCAATACCCCCAGCAGGTGAGAACTTGGACTAGGTGATCCACACAAGAGGTTTTGTGTTTGTTCAGACATTTTTGGCTTGAGATCCAAAAGGACTCAAAAAGTCCAAGTACAAATCAGAACAGGGAACAGTGCACAAGACTGAGGCCCTGAGATGGCAGCAACCACCTAAGCTCCAGTGGGAACAGTTTCCAGATCAGTGCTCAATGCTTTCCAGCCCTGAGCTAGTGCTGCTCTATGTCCTGTGCTAATCACCTCACTTAAATGCAACCATGCACAAGGGAAGATCTCTACTTCTACTTCACACTGTATTTGCCTGTAGATACTTGGAAAACCTTAAGTGACATATCCTCCCAGAGAAACCTTACTCACTTGAATACAGATGTGATCAGGTCAAGCTCTGAAAGGACCACCAACACCTACATTCAAAACTGTTTGTAAAACTGATTTTTAGATGCAGAGCCCCATATGAGATCAGCTGGGGCAGCGTGCTATTGAGTAAGACAAAGTACTCCAGAACCCATTGGCTCTTTGGAAAATGTGATCCAAGAGCACTATCTGAGAATTAGAAGGCCAGATACAAATGTATTAACAGTTACTAATAACAATACACTGAGACTGTAGGAATATGCACACATCATACTAAGGGGCATCAAAGAATGTGATAATAGTAAAAAAAAACCCAAAACCAAAACCCAGTTTGTGTCACAGCTTAAAGAATCTGATAGAAAAATGAGGCTGGAATTATTAAACAGCTGTAAAACAAGAAAAAAGTAACAAACTACATAAAGTAGGTCAAACCAGAAAGCAAATCTTCCTTTCTCATCAGGTTTTCATATAACTGGTATAGGAGAAAGCACTTATAGAGTTAAGAGCTGGGGAGGACTACCTTCTTGTTAGGCAGACCCTTAGAAGATCTGAAAGGGGGGGACAAGACCATGTTTGTATTGGGCTGGCTGCCAAGGGGTTTTGCTATAGACTCTAGGTTAATTAACTTTATTGAAGGCCTGATCAACCTTTGAAGGCTTTGGACATCCCGCAGCAGTGCCAGGAAGGAGATTTCACACACAGAGCCTGTCAGAGGTCACTAAGTTTGGGGGAGATTGAGGGGAAATAGCCATTTCCACTTCCACTGTGGGAATCCCTGCAACCCACATACACAAATCAGATCCTTTAAGCAACAGACTTGGCTTTTTTTCCTTTCTGCAGTGGTATCTCACACATCTGCTATTCAAACATCCCAGCAGGTCTGAAATACAGAAAGCTCAGAAGTATTTCTAAAACCCTGGTTATACCTCACCTCATTATGTACTTTGTAGGGCCGTATTCAGGGAGCTGTATTGGCTGCCATTCTGAATTTAGCCTGCACTAAACCCATTTTCTGAGCTGGTAAGTGGCTTGTAACAAGAGACAAGCATAGAAATAGAGTTCCCTGTGTGAAGAGGCTGCTCAGCTGCGAGTCCAGCCCTCTCCTAGACCCTCACCCTGTGGTCTCTGCAACCTCCCGAGACCAAATCATCCAAATACCAAAAATCAGAAATTTTTGCAAACGTTTACCAAACAACATGAAAAGATGTGAGCGTCCTGCCCCCTCAGTGCCAACACACCGCAGCGCACCCGCTGGTCCTGCAAACAGCGCTCCGTTCTAACGCAGCGGAGCTCCTCCTTAAGCACTTTAAGAACGACCTCCCCATCAGTGAGACCCTCCAGCGCTCCTCATGCTCTCAGCAGCTCCGGAAGGTTGTGGGTCGCTACTCCCCACATGAGGCTATTACGGGATAGCTCTCACATCTCGGGGAGAGGAGCCACGTGGTCCAGCCGGAGCTCGTCGGAGGCGCCGCGCTTCGGAGGCGGGATCGGGAGTCTGTTCAGCGCAGCGTTGGTGGTATAGTGGTGAGCATAGCTGCCTTCCAAGCAGTTGACCCGGGTTCGATTCCCGGCCAACGCATTGACCTTTTTTCTTCCCTACCTGTCCTTCACAGTGCTCCAGGTATCTCTCCAAAGGTGACACACCATCCATGACCGCAGCCACCCACCAGGTGCCCCAACACACCTCTGGGTCTGGCTTTAATCCAGAGGAGCGCCACCGGGGGCAGGTGCGGCTCCTCAGGGAGCTAAGCCCATTGCAGCTGTGTCTTTTAGGCTTTGAGCCCTTCCCCTGCCTTTGCAAGGGTTTGCTCCATCCTGTGGAAGGGCTGGAGTAACCGGGGTGTTCTGACGTGCTTTAGAGGAGCCTGCAAACATAACTTGCTCCTCAGCTCCCCTGAGCTTGCCTCTCTCTCAGATGCTGAACATAAATGTGGAGTTGGAGCCTTGGCTTAGACCTTGCAAAGATAATGCTTCACGTCTGGCTGGTGCTTTTTAGTGAGCAAGTGCAATGGGCCCTTAATTTCTCCCACCTGCCTCATTGACTGTAGTAAGGCACATCTGGTCCTTTGAGGAAAGCCCCAGTCCAAAGTTACAAACCTCAGACTCATGCCATTGCAATGGAATGGTCTGTTCTCGGGCCAATATTGCAAATGCTGCTAGTGGGAGGAAGCTATTGGTCCTGTTTGCTGCTGTTCTCCTCTTGCAGGTATTTTCCCCATTGGTGTCTCTGTTTCTGCCCCTGTGAGCGATGTTTTAAGGCCATTCACTCTTCAAAAGACTTGCGTGAAGAGTCTGGGTGTGTGGGAGTGTGTTCCCAGGAGGGAGTTTGTGTTGCATGCCATTGATTGATGCTGCAGGAATGTCACCTGCCAATGCTGCTTGGCTTGGGCATTGCTTGACTTGATGCCAGTGGTTACTGTCAGCCTTGTTGCTGCTCTCCTGTCCTGTTGCTGCATGTGATGGATGGATGGGACACATCCCTTTCTGGGCTGGTGGATGTGCTGACTGCTGTGATCAATGTATCCTCTTGCTCTGCTAGACAGGACTTTGCTTTCTGCTGTGAGATCTGCTTGCAAACAGCTGGCTGAGCTGAAAAAACCCTTTGGAAGAAGATGTCAAAGCCAGGCACACGACAGGTCTTTGGGAGGTGCTGCCAGGATCTTCTAGCTACCCTAAAGGTGCAAAGGTTTAGGTTAGTAGCCTTTATCTGTGTTGCAGAGTGTATGTGGCTGATAAGCATCCTTCCCTCCTCAACACAGCCTGCTGGGCTGGTTTCATGGTATTTCTAGGATTCACCTTGACCTGTGCTTTACAGGTGCCAAATACCCAGCCCCAGAAAAATCCAGTCTCAAGGAGGTAGGTTTACATCACACAGCCCTTCCCCAGAAACAAGTCAAGAAGTAAAGCAAGGAGAGGACTCTCAGAGAGGCTGCACCTTGAATTATGGAGGCTGATGGAGCTAGCTGGGACCAGTTGAGGATGGTTCAAGTTAAAATGTCCCATTTCAGGTGGCAGGTGATTGGGATGGTTGCAGACCACTCTATGGCCTCAGCTGGTTTTGCCAGCACAATGGGACAGCATAGGGAGGGCTGAGAGGGCTTGGCTCTCAACAGTAGTGGCAAGCCCAGCCCTCACAGACCTCTTCATGACAGTGTGGACCTGCATTGCTCACAGGGGTCGTTGTATTCAACACAGGGATTGTGCCGAATTTGTGTTGTCATTATAATGGTAGCTATTGGGGACAGGAAATTGGTGCTCCCTCAGTGTTGTGAACTCTTGCTGTGCTGAAGTTGGGAAGCTGGAGTGTTGTGTAGTAGTCATGGTGTTTTCCTGGTGTGGTCCTGTAGCTGTAGTGCTGAGTTTCCTCAGCTAATTAATCCTTTGTTGCACTCAGAACCCCCTGGAGATGAGCTATGTTAATCTTACAGCTCCTGGGGATTTGTCTGCATTTTGTGAACCTGAGATGGAGAGGTCAAACTGTGGTGATTAAGTGGGAGAGGCTACATCACAGATGAACATAAAATACAAACCTCTTAATATTGGTGTTGCTTCCTGCCATGGATAGGGGCATCCTGCAAATAGCATGGGCATCAGTGCAAAGCGATGTGATCAAGTTATGCAGTTTGGTGCCTCTTCTGTTAAAAGGGCGTCAATTGTTTACCCTTCTGGAGGTGAAGAAGGGAAAATGTTTAGAAAGCTGAGAAACTATCAGAGAGTAAAGAGTCACATTCTGTGAGTGATTCCAGCTCTAAGGGTTACTTCGATATAAGGGATGTAAGGATCTTCTGGATCCTGCCCAAGGGAGGGGAGGCATGGCTGTGCCTTGGGAGGGCTTCGTGCTTACAGCTTCCTCCTCAAGGCTGAACATCCACTCATGGTGACCAGCGTGTTGGAGGCTTAGTGAGTGAGGTGCACAGTGATGGGGAGTCCCAGTGAGTGGAGGCCCAGGTACTTGGAGGTCAAGGGACCTCCTTTTCCTTTGGAAATCAGCAGCCACCCAGAGCCAGGCCAAGGTTACTGATGAGCAGGAGCACTCAGAGCAGGGAAGAAACCACGCTTCCTCTGCGCAATGGAGGCAGCCATTATACACAGCCCTGCATAGTGGGAGCCGGTTACGGGACGATGAATCATCCGAAGTGCACAGTTACTGTAATGATGAATTGTCATGAGTCTTAATTAGCAAATTGCTTAATTTTACTTAGAAAGTTGATGATTACTACAGCAATAAATGTTTTGTGTATTCTTTGTAAACATCGTTCAATATCTTTCTTCCTTGGGTAACTAATTGGAGAAGACTATTCCAAAGAGCTTCCACTACTGTGCCTGTGTTGGTCTCTTAAATATTTCTGCAGCAGACATTCCTGCTTTACCTGGATTGTTTAATCTGGTTGTGGGATGGGACTCACAGGAGACTTTCAAAAACCTGGAAGGGACAAGGAGCAAGTCAGTAAGGAAGCTCTACCTGTTTTATTCATTAGTGCTCTCAGCAGCTGCCTTCTATTTTAGCATGCTGTAAACGTCTACCTGCTTGCTTTGAGGTTGGTTAATCTGGTTTGGCTTTATTTTACCTTTTTTCAGGAGGATATTTGAGAATTAAAAGCTCATGACTGACAACGCTCTGCTTTCTGCTCTCCTGAGCTTTATGCTAAACTTCCATAGACGTAATTGTCTCAGAAGAGTATAGCTTGTCTCAGGTGTAGCTTACGTCTCCTGGTGCCCTTGCTGCCTGCAGCATTAAAGCCTGGCCTTTGGAGGAGGTAGAAGAGCAACTGAGAGCAGGATCGTGTTCCAAGAAGAGAGGAATATATTATGTACAAGGTGTCTCCAAATGCAGCACATTCCAATTGTGCCAGGATTCTATGCTTCTTGTTGCAAAGATGATTGCTTCTGTTTGGTTTAGCCCTGTTTTGGTCCCTGTGCCTTGATTCCCTTCTTGCCAAGGATGTAAATAGAGTGAGGTTCTGAGGAGGACCCCAAAGTGGGGGTCAGAACGAAGTGCAGACAAGCTGCAGTGTGATCGTTAGGCTTTGCAGTAATGAAGGACCTGCATGGAGCTGGCAAGGCTCTCAAGAAGCTGCAGCACAAAAGGAATGTCAGACGTAAATGCTGGATGCTGAAGTGCCTTGAGTCTGACAAGTGTGACGATCACACTCTCATACTTAGTTACCCAATAGGACTGCATTCTAAACTGATCAATGCTTTTCAGTGTCCGTATATAGTGGATTTATTGCCAGGAAGGCAAAGAAACCACCACAACTACTCACTGCATAATAGTGAGTAATTTTATAGAATTATAGAACCATAGAATAGTTAGGGTTGGAAAGGACCTTAAGATCATCCAGTTCCAACCCCCCTGCCATGGGCAGGGATTCCTCACACTAAACCATGTAACCCAAGGCTCTGTCCAACCTGGCCTTGAACACCACCAGGGATGGAGCGTTCACAACTTAATTTGAGTTTTAATTGTGAATGGTAAAGTGTATCATCATTAGGTTATGCTGGTGTAAATACAAACATAATCAGGTTCATTAGATTTGATATTTGGTTCTAACTTGCCCCTATGTAAATCAAGAATCACTCTCTTAGAGAAGTGAGGTTACAATGACTTGAAATTGTGTCAGAATCTAGTTTAATTTTTAGGTTTACTTGGTGATGAAGAAGTGCTGTAACTTCCCATTTGTCTGAATCAGATGCAGCCCAGGTCACATAGTGGTAAGGCTGACACTTCTTTGTCCTGGTCAGACTGGGACTCTCTTATCCCCTGAACAGGGCAGTAATCTGGGATTTGGTATTCTTTGCAAACATTAGCAGGCTCTCAGCATTTGTCTGCTAATATGTGTTCCTTCCATGCATGCTAGCAGAAACAAGCGTGAAGTCAATGCTCAGCGTGCATTGACTTTTGGAAAAGGAAAGTCGCTTCTGTCAGATGGAAAAGGGGCAAACTGTCTAGAAAAGAGCCATTTTTCCTGACTTCTACAGCACTATTATGTGCGATTCAGACACTAACTGCCCCCATGTCAGAGAATTGCTGAGAACCAGACCCAGAGAGTATTGCCAAATCCTCCCCTGAATGCGAGAGGAAATACTGTAAGTAAAAGTCACCTGTTGCAGCTGAAAGGCTGAATGGTGACTTTAAAACTATACAGTTAACTTTAATTTTCTTATCTATGCAAAGCAACAAATGAAGACATTCTGTATGTAGTTTGCATAGAAATCCACTCGTCCTGGCCCAGCTGTGCTCGTAAGCCTTGTACTGCGGAGTGGGGGAGAGCACATTGGTCTATCCTTATTTTTCATTCTGTG